ATTTTTCTCCTATCAATAGTTTTTTTAATTAATTTTTTGATACTTAAAAATTATATTAAATTTAATTAGTTCGAAATCGATTTGTATCATATTGTATATAGTTTTTTTAATATTTATTTTTTTATTCATAAAATTTAAATTTAAGATTTTATTTTTAAAAAATTGAATTTCCTGTACTCAAACTAATAAATCATTATTTTTTTTTTTTCTATTAGTAGTACTTCATTACAAAAGAATTTAACCCATATTATATGGGTATCAATTGGCTTATTCTAATCTAAAGTAAAATGAAATTTCCGACTTGAGCTTGCTGGAATCCATACGCTGAACTTTATTATACCGTATAATATAAGCCTGAAAAATCTTAAAATTTTTTTATGATTGAATGAATGAGAATGAATACAAAGAAGATGAGAAGACTAAAACAAGGATAATTATAAAAAGAAAATTACATACATACTACTGTTATGATAGGAATATAAGTTTGACGGGCAACCCAAAAACAAAAAGACAAGGTTGGAATTGGATCCTCTTCCCCTCCTCTCCCCACCATCCAGTCTCCACACCACAGGTTTTAAAGTTTAAACAATGAAAGAATAAATTAGAGATAACAACTAATCGCCACCACTCTTTACATATCTACATACATATATTATACTACTAATAAAAACCAATGCCTACTCTGCTCGGCTTTTAAGAAAATAATAAATGGAGTAGTAGGAGTAGTATATATGAAGGAAACTTCTTTTACTCGTCCTTATAGTTTTTTATTGTTGTTTACTAACTTTGCAAACTCCGATGTCGGTCCTTCTTTTTGTCTTTACTTATTTTACTTTATAAATTTCAATCTTATAAATAATATGAAATGAAAATTTGAAAAAAAAAAAAACAGAGAAGAGATGGCTGTAATTATTTAGTATTTTAAATGAGTTTTTTTTTCTTTTTTTTTTTACATCTCAATTGAATTATATTATAAAATAAAAACTATTGACAAGAAGAGGGAGTCTCAATAACTAATAAACATTTAAATTTTTGATGTTTCAGTTATGATCATATATATAGTTTATTTATATGTAAATTTATTTACATATAAATTTTATATATTACATTTATATAAAATTTTAATTATTTATCTTTTTTTTTAATAATTAATATTTATTCATATTTATTAAAAATAATTATTTTTTACTTAAAAAGTTATAATAAATATCAACTATTAAAAAAAATGAATGTTTAAGATTTTGTACAACTATAGTGTGTAAGACTTATCTGTAAGTAAATCCTTACTTTATATATATGAGGATTCTTCACTTTTAATAATTGAAATTTATTATAATTATTAGATAAAAAATAATTATTTTAAATAAATATAAATAAATCTTAATTATTAAAAATGAAAAAAATAATTAAAATTTTATATAAATATAATATGTAAAATTTGTGTATAAATGAATCATTTCTTTATATAACATAGGTGTGTCCCTTCTTTAAAGATTTCCTAACAAAATGTATCAATCAAGGAAGAACCAAAAGAAGAATGCAATCTGTTACTGTAAGGTTAAGAGGAAGAGAAAGAAAACAGACCAAAAATAGGCAGAAGAGGAAGGTAAAGTGGAAGCGGTTATAACATCATCACTTTGTTAGGGTACAGGTGTTAGGCACTCAAATAAACAGAGTTTGTTAAATCATCTCCTAGCATTAGTATTTTTCTATATGCTCTGCTCCTCCAGCCCCTTCCTATCAGATCATTGCCTTATTGGACCTGATTGGTTTTCTGTCATCTCCTCTCCAAAGTAGAAACCAACAAGAAATCCAGTCCAAAGACAAGAATATTGATTAAATACTCCAATAATTAACATTTGGCAGAAATCAATCTAATTCCAATTCAGAGGTGCTTCTCTTTTTCTCTCTTTAAATTTTCTAATTCTTCAAAGATTCCAAGGTCCACCACCACCATTGACACATTTAATCATTCCCTTGCTTTTCCTATATATATTTTAATCACAATTGACAATACAATTCACATAACCTGAGGAATTTGTTACTTCTTTGTAGTTTTCTACTACAAGAAAAAACACACCATCATGCCATTCCGGGCCAATCCAGGCCAGGGAAGAGAGAGAGGGAAAAATGAGATTTTTTTTTTCTTCTATCACACCCTGAAGAATAAAGTTGAGTGCTTTCATTTCCATTGATCAGGTTCTGGTGTTGGTTGGTGGGTCTTCATCATATTTCACTCTTTAATCAATCAGGTAATCATTTTTCATCATTCACTCTCTCAAATCAGCTTTTGTTTTCTGTTTCTCACTTCAAGGAATGTTTTCCTTTCTTTGATAATCTAACTTCATTGCAACCGTGTTTGCTTTCTTTACCTCAAATTCCCCATCATTAGGTTTAGATCTTGATGCCCAAAATTTATTCTCTTTGTTGTTTTCAGTTTTCCTTTCATTAAGTTCAATTTTCTCTCTTCACATTACCTATGATTATGACTTGTTATTTGTTTGGCTAATTTCACAGGATAAGGAAAAATGATGTCTTTCTTCCCACTTTTGCTTGTCAAGATTTTAAGCGTATAGATAATTTGCAGGTTGGTGATTCACTTTCTACATCTGTGGAACCATGACTTAATAAGCTTTTATTTTAGTTCCAACCAAGAAAATCTCATGTCAGCTTAAAAAACTTGCTGTTTTCTCTCAGTTGAACAGAAATTACATATTTTTATGTCTTGGAATTCTGAATTGAAGATTCTTAAAGGTTTAAACCTGCAATTGTAGTTAACCTTTCTGATGTATTAGGGCTTCTTCTTGTTTTTTTGCCATTTATAGACTTACTGAGCTTCTATTTCATTCTTGTGCCCTGTTTGTTGTTTATCTGTCAGGATTTCAGCTACCTTCAATTCAAAATTACCCTACTTTGATCCAAAGTCTTGCTATTATCATGGCTGGAATTGATGATAATGTTGGTATAATTGGAGATTGGGTGCCTCCTAGTTCTAGCCCTAGTTTTTTTGCAGCCTCATTAGCTGATGATGTCAGCTCAAAATCAATCTCAGAAACACTTGATCAGGGTACAAATGAGGGGTTCTTTCTAGGAACCCAGAAGCTGAGGTTATCAGCTAACACTGATAAAGAAAATGTTTCACAAACTAGTGATCAATTGACTGAATTAGGTTCAGTTTCTGAGCAGAAATCAGGTCCACGGGGATGTCTAGCAGAAAGAGTTGCAGCAAGAGCTGGATTTAGTGCTCCAAAGTTGAACACAATAAGCATCAAGCCTGCTGACCTTTCAATAAACAATGATATTCCTTCTCCTTACTTGACTATATCACCTGGTCTCAGTCCAACAACACTATTAGATTCTCCAGTTTTTCTTTTAAATTCACTGGTAAGTTTCCATCTTGAAAATTATGGATACTGGTTGGCTCTTCATTCTTGTTTCTAACATCATGTGGAATGCCATTGCCTTTATTCTTTGATGTGGGTCTAGTGAAAGTTGAAGACGTAATTGGAGTTCTAAGTTCTAACAGAATGTAAAACTAATATTGTGGGTTTAGCTTCTCATGGTTGGTTTAAATAGTTCAAAATTGATGGCAACTTGCAAAAGGAACTTGTGCTAAACATGGAAGTAGGTTGACAAGATAATGAACTAAATATAGGAAGTTATGCTGTACACATCCTTAGGTGCAGCTGCAGGAAAAGTGAAACATAATTGCCTTCTCTTATATGTTCTCTTACTTCCTTTACATCATAAAATTGTGCTAAGCCGTTTTAATTGCAACTTGGATTCCAAACTATAGGTATCTTGAAAATTCTATTAATTTGTGCTTTTCTATTGACTATTGGTGTTGCATATTGTATGCTAAAATTTTATTTTTATTGAAGTTGTTCTGTTCCGTACAAGATCCTGTATGGCTGAACATGTATCACTGCAGGCACAACCATCCCCAACAACTGGAAAATTTCCTTTTCTTCCAAATGGAAATGGCAGGAGCTCAATCTCAGAGGCTGCTGAAAAAAGTAAAGATAATTTGTTTGAGGACATTAATACATCATTGTTTGCATTCAAGCCCATGACAGAATCAAGTTCTTCTTTTTTCCTTGGTGCTACAAGCAAGGTAAGTAGGCTTTGGAAGGTTTGTTGTTCTGGGCATATTGAACTATCCTTGTTACTATCGTTGTTCCTATCTTTCTACTTTTGGTACTCCCAAGTTTTGTATTCTAAGTATTGATTTGCCTTCTGATTCTGAGTACAGATTATGCCTGCCACTCTTCCTAGGCAATCCTTTCCCAGTATTGAAGTTTCAGTTCAGTCTGAGAATTCTCTTCGGTCACAGGTTTTTGATCCATCCAAAGTCCATTCTCAGAACAGAAACAGCCCCAACCTTCAGGCAGACTTTGCCCGATTATCAACCGAAAAAGATAATGGGAACCAAAGGGTTTTTGATACTGTTGGTGGTAGTTCTGAGCATTCACCACCCCTTGATGAGCTACAGGATGAAGAAGGAGATCAAAGAGGCAGTGGAGATCCCATGGCTGCTACTGCTGGTGGTGCACTGCCCGAGGATGGATATAATTGGAGAAAGTATGGGCAGAAACAAGTAAAAGGTAGTGAGTATCCTCGTAGTTATTACAAGTGTACACATCTGAATTGTCAGGTAAGGAAGAAAGTGGAACGTTCTCATGAAGGGCACATAACAGAGATCATATACAAAGGAGCCCATAATCATCCCAAGCCTCCGCCCAATCGCCGATCAGCCATTGGATTATCTAATCCACTCAATGAAATGCAGTTAGATGACCCTGAACATACAGGCCCACAGAATTGTACCGATGGTGACCTTGTTTGGGCAAGTGCACAGAAGGGAATCTCTGCAGGAAACCCTGACTGGAGTCATGATAACATTGAGGTGACATCATCTACAACTTTGGCCCCTGAGTACGGCAGTGGATCCACCTCTTTGCAAGCTCCAAATGGCACACATTTTGAATCTGGTGATGCTGTGGATGCCTCCTCTACCTTCTCTAATGATGAAGATGAAGATGATCAGGGGACACATGGTAGTATGTCATTATGTTATGATGGTGAAGGAGATGAATCAGAGTCAAAGAGAAGGTTTTTATATGACAAATTAATTAAGTTAATAGCTTTGTTATTAAGACCATAGTGTGAATGTTCCCATGTGATTTTATTATCCCAGGAAAATTGAAGCTTATGCAGCAGAAATGAGTGGAGCCACCAGAGCTATCCGTGAACCTAGGGTTGTAGTTCAGACAACTAGTGAGGTGGATATCCTGGATGATGGATATCGGTGGCGCAAGTATGGCCAGAAAGTTGTGAAAGGAAATCCAAACCCAAGGTTTATAGTGCAGTCAGATACTTGCTATCTTCCTTGTTCACTAGTACCTATGCAAAGTATAATATTATTGAGTTGCCAAATTGAAACTGAATCTAACTTGCTGCTATTTTACCACAGGAGTTATTACAAGTGCACAAGCGCAGGTTGCACTGTAAGGAAGCATGTAGAGAGGGCATCACATGACCTTAGGTCGGTGATCACCACATATGAGGGAAAGCACAATCATGATGTCCCTGCTGCTCGCAGCAGCAGTCATGTCAATTCAGGTGGCTCTAGTGCTGTAACTGCCCAAACTGTTTCTGCTGTCCAAACCCATGCACATCAACCAGAGCCCCTACAAGTTCACAGCAGCATGGTTAGAGCATCTTCTTTTGGTCCATTAACCTTACCTGGAAGGCAGCAGCTGGGGCCTTCCAATGCTTTCTCATTTGGAATGAACCAACCTGGACTAGCCAGTCTAGCAATGGCTGGTTCGGGTCCTGGGCAAGCTAAGTTGCCCGTCTTGCCTGTTCACCCATTCATGGCACAGCAGAGGCAGGTCATGTTGCCGAAGGGAGAACCCAAGGCGGAGCCAATATCCGAACCTGTTTTAAATTTGTCCAATAATTCAGCATTATATCAGCAAATGATGAGTAGGCTGCCTCTTGGACCATAGATGTAAATTTTCCTTAAAATTTATTTCAATGCTTTTTTTTTTCCTTCTTTTTTTTTTTTTTTTTTTTGGGTTGTTATGAGGAAGTAGAAGCATTTAAATTTCAATATATAAGTGGGTTTTTTGGTTACTTCTCCATCCCTCTGTCATTAGGGTAGGCATTATTATTTGTTATTCTCTTTAAAACACTAATCATGTACCAAAAAGAAAAATGGTGCACAGTACAATACTCAGGAGATTTCAGGTTTAACCAAGTCCCTTCCAATCTTTAAATGAATCAAATCTAAACCACCAAGCATCGAGTCTTGGGAAACTCTTTGCTAATCTTTAACTAATTATAAAATTGTCAGCACTAAAATCTTCAAAAACACTCAAAATTAATACCCCTTAAAGTCCAAGTAAGGCAGGCCAATTCTCAAAAAATACCCAAAATTAATACCCTTAGGGTTCAACTTCAAACGAGATAGGATCAAAACTTAAGTCTTCCTCACCATTCCCAAATTAAATTTTTTTTAGGCCAATACAAAAAGATAGGCTCAAAACCATAACCACAGCCCAACATGGCAATCTCAAACTCACCTACAATATTTGAAAACATACCAGTTTCCCCGCCCAAAAAAATCGATTGATGACATTTACTTGAATAAAACATCACATTCATCTGTCCCTTTGAATTTCCATTTTCCTTTAAAATTTTGGCTGTACCATTTCACCTACAATAACTGAGAAAATACATCTACAAGGCACAACTTTCTGAGGGTTTTTTCCCCCATTCTTCGGCCAGGTCCAACTTTCTGAGTTAAGGGGAGGATATTCAGATTTTTGTAAAACCCATAATGATGATAATCATATCTCAACCCTCAAAGTAAAAAACCTGGACATGTGTACATTATACGGCAAGGTGGAGCCTCAACTTCAAGAGGGAACGCCCTGGTCTCTGTTCTAACTGACAGCCCAAGTTTGAATTTAAACATCTGTCGCATCACTTCATTAATGACCATTTGACATGGTGTCTTCCACATTGTTTGCTTTTCTATGCTGATAAACTGATTTGCAGTGACTTATCTCCTCTCTGCATAAGATAAATAGATGTCATCCAAAATCTAAGAGATTGATGGTATATGAGAATCAATTAGACACCAAAACAAATCTGGAAGAGAAGCAAAGAAAGGCTGGATCATCTAAAATCACCCTAGCAGGATTGGAAGCAAAACTAACTTGCAGCTACCAACTAAAATCAAGCCTATTTACTATGGGTTGATTATAATATACTATAGATCACCAAAAGAGTCATAAGATGTAAAAATCACTAACTAATTTGGGTGATCATTTGGTTGACTGATAAATCTAAACTCAAACAGAACCAATGATAAATAATGAGACAAAAACCAAATGTATGACAAGTTTAAATCCTACACAAGATTCTGTCGGCTATTGCAATGCACATGAATATAAGCATAAACATATCAATGTTTTCTCGACATTGGCCACAAAGGTTGACAAAAGTGTTCGAGGTGACCTTGTTACCTGCTGATATTTCACATTTATATCTACCAGTCAAAATCTAAATCTAGCAGTCAAGATGACCTTGCATTATCCTTTTCAAAAGCCAGGACTTTGGTTAAGTTGAGGTTAACAGGTTTAGTATCACTTAGAGTAAATGAAATGACAGTAGAGAATCATCCATTCAAGTAGACCATGCATGTCTACGTGTTTGTGTCTTTAGGAATCTCATCTGCTCACTAGGATTTTTCAGTTTGAATATGGCTATAGTTGCTCGATCATCTACATAAATGTAAATCACAGAGATATTTAAGCCATCCTACTCGCTGCCCAGTGGCATCAAAGGCTTTTGTCCTGACCTTCATGTAAGACTGAGAAGCTTTTTTTTTACATTTTTGCCAACGAGAGAGGCATGTTTACTTGGATAACAAACATAGATGACATTGTCCTGACATAAGGCCATATCAAGGATATCTATGATGTGGTATGGCATATCTGTCAGAGATGTCAGCGATTTAAATCAGAATTACCATGCTTTGAGTTTTTATAGTAATGATATAAAATGCATAAATGTATAAACAACTTTTATTATGGCTGCTAGTACTCCATTCCAGCAGATCTTTTTAATTCTACTCACCAACTGGAAGTGACAAACATGAAACATGATCAATTAGTGTTAACCTATTAGGAGAAAAATCATGATCTATTCCAACAATGATGGTACTAAGTGCAGGGTTGCTAGCTTTTAACAATTTTGAAATGGAGGCCTCATCAGAAAAGAGAACAAGGATACTGAGTCAAATAATAGTAGACCAAGAAATAAATTTTAACCTGAGAGAGTTCCAAATTGAGTCGTAATGGAGAATGCCAACAACTCTTCGCTTCCTTCCTTTTTGGGGTTTGCCACCACGCTTCACAACTGGTAACTGCTTTATCCCCTTGGCCTCCATCAATTCCTTGGCAATTATCAAATCAGTGTCTGGATAACAAATCAAAAGACCACACTCTTGCCCACGGTAGCTTATCCCTCGTGTACAAACTGAGGAAACTGGACAGGTGTTGACCTGTAAAGACTTGACTTAGAGCAATTCAGAATGTGTGTGAGTGCATGTGTGACCGTGAGACAGACATCACATACCTCCACGAGTGTCAAATCGCTCTTAGAGGTACCACTAGATTGATGAGACAGACATCGTTTGGCATCACCATATGTAAGTACCCCCTCCAGAAAGTCTTCCTCATCAACAACAAGCACACATTTCTGATGGTTGTCATGCATACATTTTATTGCTTCTTTTAAAGTGAAATCCATTGGGACCTTTGCATACTTCTTTGACATGGCCCTAGCAACCTGACAACAATCAGGAATGCATCAATGAGCACAGTTAAATCAAGATAAGGGAAAGATGTTTAGCAGCATGCTAATTGATGAGATAAAACAATCAATCACAAGAAAGCTGACTGCACTGAAGATCATATAACAAGGAGGAAATGACACCTTAAGATTCTCTAGAAGCAAATCTTCATTAATTGCTTCATGGTCAGCTGCACTTTCTATGATAGAGAGTTCCTCAGCAGTTGAAAGAGAAGAATAACCTCTTGGGCTACTCCTTGAATCAGATGTTTCAGCCTCCTTGTTCTGGTTTGTGACAGAAGGAACCCATATTGCCAATCCAACAGCTCCCTATTAACAAAATGATAACACTCTAGCATTAAAAAATTGTGAATATTCAGACATTCGCATGTTATCCAAATAAAGTACATGCAACAACAACAAAGCAACAAAGCCCTAACCCCTGCAAAAATGGTGAAGCATAGAAAATAAAATATCTCAGCAAAACAACATTAATAATAAGAAGTCTATCACTAAGATTTCAAATACTTATCCATTCTTAGGAAGTTACTCAACTCGAGAAAGCCTAAATCCAAATGATAAATTGAAATAAAATGGGAAAAAAAGGAATGTTTGAGAATTCACTTTGTTAGTGAAGCATTAATCTAAAGAGGTGGTGTAGTAAGGATTTGGAAATTGGGGGGTGGGAGAGCACTGAAGGAGGTTCTTATGTGTTGAAATTAGGGGAACACCGAACAAACCATTGTAAAATACCACATCATAAAACTGTTATATTTCTCTAATTGATTTGTATAAATAAGAATTAGATAAATGAATTGAAATAAACATTAATCAAGTCTAAATTAAATATTTTTAAGTTAAAATATAGATTAAACAAGTTCAGATCAAAGATTTCAAGTTTAAACAAAGATTAAAAGCCCAAATTAATAATTCAAAATACAAACCAGGCAACAATTGTTGAAACAAAAAGCAATTAAGGAAGTGGCAAAAGTAGCCTGCAAAAGGACCAAAACTAGCCTCCAATGAATAAAAAAACTAGAAAAGAACTAAAATGATATAAAATAGAAAATTTAGGACAAAAATGGAAAGATAACGGTTAAAGGATCAAAATACTATAATTAAAAGGTTGAGGACCTAACTATTTCTTTCCCTAAGGTTTTGGGGGGGGGGGGGGGGTGCTCCCTCCACTGTAAAAAGTTAAATGGTACCCATGCTAAAATCTAAGCTATATTTTCAATATCTGTTACATAAGTAATAAATAAATAAGTAATGATGAAGGTAGCATATCTAATTCCATAGTGAAAGGACTAGTTATTTCCTGCCCTTTTTTTTTATTTTTAAAATAGCAGTAATTTCCTGGAATTACATCTTTTAGACATGGTAGACCTGAATGGCTGCATCAAGAGGGGAAACTGAAATCAGGCAAGATCACATAAAGACTTACCATGAGAGGAAGCAGTATCCTGTAATCTTTTGTCAACTCAAAGAGAAGAAGAACTGAAGTCAAAGGCACTGAACAAACTGAAGCTAATGTAGCAGCCATTCCAACCTGCAATGAAAGTGATAAATATTAAAATAAGCTTACTTAAGTCAAAAAGAAATTTACAGAAATGAGAAATATAAATGAAAGGGGAAACTTGACCAATGCATATGCTTGTGGCTGTGCAACAGCAGCATTTCCAGGAATTGCTGAATTGATAACTTCAGCAGCTGAGCCTCCAAATACAGCACCTACAGCAGCTCCAATCATTAAACTTGGAGCATAAAGGCCACCTACAAGTCCAGATCCCTTACACAAAGCAGTTGCCACCACTTTGGCTGCAGCTAGTTGAGTTAACAACCCGATTCCAGGAGCAGAAGCATTCTTTCCGGTATGGAGTATTTCATTAACATTTGTAAAACCCCAGTATAATATTCCAGGATACTTTAGAGCTATAATGCCAGCACCTAAACCACCTAAAGCAGGACATACAACAGCAGGAAGCCCAAATTTTTCCTTGATAATTTCAAATGCCTTGGTGAACCATGAAACCAAGTGAGTTAAGGCTACACTAACAACACCACATAGCATACCCAGTATGAGGTAAAGAGGCAGCTCTGAAGGAAAAATAAAAAACAACAAATATTAGTGATGATGCTATGCAAAAAGAAAATAAAGCATAGAAACTATCCTTAGGGAACTTGTCTAGTTGTCCCCTGCTCCCCTTCACCCCCAAACCCCCACTAACAGAAAAAGAATAAAAAGAAAAAGAAGAAGAAAGGAAAAAGAGAGAGAGAGAGAGAGAAACATGTCTAGGTAATAAGAATGACTTTTTAATAGCTAGTTTTTGACTTGTGATGTTCCATCAGACATGTCTTGGACATATTGCCTCATTCAGGTGTACAAGCTGTTGTGCTACTTCTAAAAGGAATATCTGAAGCTGTAGGTAAGGTCGCCAACATACACAAACATTTTAGATTCAAATCCTCGATATAAAAGGACAAACATCAAGAAAAGGTGAAATACCAGCAGCCGATTTCAGATCATAGGCTGGCACAGTGAAAGCTGATTTCGTCCCAAGTAAAGCATTAGATACAGTAGATGATATGACTGAGGCCAAAATTATCATTGCAGTTGTAAATGGAGGTGAGTTTTCAGCACGAAGAGGTCTCAAAACAGTTTCAATAGCAAAGAAGCAACCGGCAACAGCAGCATTAAAACCTAAATAGTGTTGGAGGAGAACAGGGAAAAATATCAGACATTTTACCCGTAAATATACAAATGAAATCAAATATACCTACTCAAATAATTCAGAAAGGGAAACAAAAAAAACTAAGATTCTTTTGCCAAAATTGAGGAATAGATTCAATGCACAAGCAATTACACAACAACTAGTTTGTGTTCATATCCTCAATGAAAGCATATAAAAATACCAGATTCATGATGCTAAAGAAAAAGCTCCACCAATGTAATCCAGCTTATCTGGAAGAGAACTAAGAAGTGGCCAGTGATATCATGCTTGGCCGACACAGTACCAGCCGACACAGTACCAAGAACAAGTCTCATCTATCAATAAGCCAATTCCTCTGTGATCAGCTTGGCAATATGAATACAATTAACACTGCCTCCCACCAGCATAAACATTCCAATGCAGTAGACATAAATTATGAAGTTCACATGGTAATTATATCACAAATACATAGATTTCTGCCCAATTTTTTTGATGCAAAAATGTTAAACCTTTGTCAAGTTTTCATATGGGGATGATCAATTAAAAAGTTGACTGCACCAGTTGTGTTCCTTTGAGCTCTACTGCTAGGTGTGAAAGGATAGCAGATGTTGCATTGCATTATAGCAACAAAAGAGAAAATAATGACATACAAATCATATAATTTTCCATGGACTAGCATAATCAAATCTTGAGAGGCACTATCAAGTGCTTTCCAACAGAAACCAATTTAATTAGTTTGAGAATGCTAAGAAATATTAGGATACCTGAAGCTATTCCAGATGCAGCACCAGCAGCAATTAGAGCAATCTTCCTTTCTCTGTTACCTTCCATCATTAAGGAGAATCCATTGGCCCATGATTTTCCAATATCAACACTAGGGCCTTCAGGACCCAGAGAACATCCAGTACCCAAAGTTACAGCAGCTTGGATGGCCTTTATTGTGGGGAAGACCCCAGCAACCAAATCAAGACCTTGCTGTTGAGAAGAATTGGACTGTCTTATTTGGTACAATATCTCAAGTAAACCGTGCATCACTCCAACAATGACACCTCCAGTCACGGGGATCAAAAGAATCCGATGCCAAGTGTCAGCTAGTCTCTGGAGACGGAGCCAAGCAGCACCCTCGTTTGGTGTCCCAGCCCAGGCCCATTCATGTATGACGTGAACCTGGATGTAGTAGAGGAGCGAATTAGTTTCCAAAATCTGAAGATGAGATTTGTATAGGTGAGGGTGCCTAAACACCAAGACGGAAACTTTACAGTTTTGCAGTAACATTATGAGTCTGAACCTCATTTTGAATCTAAGAATGGGAACTAGAAGATATAATGTAATGATGCTTCAGTAACACTATCGATCACTCTTTAACAAGCCGCAAGGTGTAGCCAGCCATGGATTGCAGAAAACGGTAATTTAAGTGACGATAACATAATTTCATAAACCCTTAATGTAATTGAACAAGAAGTAGAATTACAGTAACAGAAAATTTGTGCAGGTGAAAGAAATTCAGATCTCAAATAGAAACCGAAAAATATATGCTACAAAACCTACTCCTTTGTTGAAAGCGGCAACACAGACACCTGAAGCCAGCCCAAGCAAGCAACCGATAAGAAGCAACGCCCACTCTGGCGGGGCGCTATCACCAAGCGCATCAGTACCTTCGACAAAAGCATATTGATGATGGTGATCTTCTGCTGAAGACGACGTTGAACGCTCTCTGTCCAGTCGCTTGAAGCTGTGGTGTCTTCCAGAAAATCCGCGATCCAACTGCTTGAAGATATCCTTAAAAGCGTTGGTCCCCTGCGCTTCCACGTCGTCGGCGTCCTCTTGTTGGTGACAGGCGGATCTCAGCACGTGGTTCTGATCGCCAAATTCTCCTCCGCCAGTCATTTTTTTCCCTCAGCTTTCATTGAAATTCTTCATCCTTGGTTCCACTAGAAGCAGAATTGAAAAAGGAGAGATTTTTATTGCTTCCCAACTGTTGCTTCCCAAATGCCGTGTTTCGTTCGTTTCCATTTCGACCCTAAACTTTAACAATGCTTTCAGTTTTGCCCTTGGCGTAAGAAAAAAGGCAGAAAACCGAGCACCTAAAACACCTAAATAGTTGAAGGATTCATGTTTCGTAGGGACAATTATACATTAAAAATATAATTTGTTCTCTAAATTTAATATTTTAATAATTTTATAAGATAAATTATATTTTTTAACATATAATTTTTCTTATAAAATACTTTTTAGGTAGTTTAATAATTTTATATTTACCAATTATCCAAATAACTTAATAATAATATCTTTCTACTAAAATAGAAAGTTATAAGTTTAAATCGTATGTATGCAGATGAGATGAAATAAAAAAGAAAAATTTATCTTATGTTGTGTAACTAATATAAAAAAATTAATATTAGTGCTTATCTGTCTTATCTCCTAAAGAAATTATTCTAAAATTACGTTGTTTTAATAAAGTACTATAAAAAATAAAAAAATTACTTTAATTGATGCTTTAAAAATAGAGTATTTTAGTCTTTTTCAATTGAGATTTATTGAAACAACATAGTTTTAGAATAATTTTTTGCCTAATCTTTATGAGGTAAGGCGGATAGGTATTATTTTTAAAAAAATTATAATTATATATATATTTTATGGTAGTTGTACAACGAGAAGTAATTCTCTTTTATCTCTTATTTCATTCCACTTATATATTATACGATTTAAACTCAAAATCTCTTATTTTTAGTAAAAGATAATTAACACTAAATTACTTAAGTTGTTGATTATAATTATATGTTAGGTTGAAAGAAATGAATAATTATATGTTTGGAATTGGATACAAAAAAATGAAATGAAGGGAATTGTATCATTTCATTTTCTTTCATCTCTTCTACTCATCTAGGTAAATAAAGGAAATTTTCGCAAAACCGTTTATGCAGTTGCCCGGATTTGAACCAGGGTCACCCGCGTGACAGACAAAAATATGGGAGAATTAGAACACTGCTCTTGTTATTGTTGCTGAAGATAATAATCCAAGGAATTCCGCAAAGACAACTGGGGTTCATAGTTGTTAGCCTTTTTGTTAGCCTTTGCCCTGCGATGACCTCTTCATTGCTTGGCTTGGCCTTCCTCTGATTTTTGGTGAATAGATTAACTCTATGGGTTCGAGAAATCATATGAAAGGAAGAAGAAGTGAAGTTTTCCGTAGTTAGGCTTAGATTGGGCTCGAGAACATGGGAGAAGTAGGACTTGGTCAGACCAAACTAAGGGTTCCCGTAGCATGGAAAATAATGATGATACTATTTCTGGACGTCATGAAAATCAGCAACTTAGTAAAGATCTTGGAAATGGGTGGCAGAAGTCTTGTTCCACCGAGTCTGTCTCAAAATGTAAGGAGGCAAGCAGTTGATTCAGAATCTGAATTGGAGAAATACAACATACAAAATGAAATGGGCTCAAATCAGGGTCCTGACAGTTTGACTAAATTCAAATGGGTAATTATGATGAAACTGAAATAAAGGGTACGGTGGAGGATTTGCCTATCCAGCATTGTTCTGCGGAGGTGGAGCCACTGGTGAAGAAGACTCCTGATATACTTGCAGTGTGCAAAATTGCAAATGTTCCACACCCCCCCCCCCCCAAAAAAAAAAAAAAAAAAAAAGGAAAAAGGAAAAAAACTCTCTTCCTTGGCATTGAAGGCTTTGAAGCTTGACTCAATAGCAAACAAAGGAAGAGGAAAGTGCACACTCCAAACTCCAAGTTGAGGATGATTGTGTTGGATGGATCGTCCATTGATATTCTATCTCATAAAAGTCCTGATTTGAAAAACCCTGATTCAAAGACTTCTAAAGACATGTCCATTCACCCTATACTGAAACTATTGGAGGATTGGATCATCTATATGATGTTAAGAGGGGCAAGTGCAAGAGCTCTTTTGCATAATAACGAGGAAGAATTAGTTCAAGGAATTCCTGATCTCTCAAGGAGCTGCTCCAGGGTATAAGGATTGTTTCAGGAAAGTCTAGGTAATGACGATTCAATTTATATATCACTAGGAGAAATAACATTAATTAAACAAGTGTGATATATTGTTTCTATAATTTATGTTATTAATTTATCTGATGTGTTTGGATGCAGTGTTGATGAGTTTGTGTGTTTGTTTTTTTTTTTTTCAACATATACAATTTAAGAAGTGAGAAATGGAATATTTAATATAATAATACTATAATTTAAATTTTAATTATTATAAAAAAATTAAATACATCTATCAAACGAGCATTAGAGGTGGTGCAAGTGTTAATAAGTTTCATTATACTTTTATGCATCAAATGAATATTAAATGATAATATATGGTTATGTTCATGTCCCACCTAAATCTAATGGAAAATCTTCTTTGTGAAGAGAAATAATGTGCCAAATAAAAAAAAGGGATAAAATCAGAAGAAACATTATCCTGTTTATAAATTGTTGATATATTTTTTTCTTAAAAAGAAAAGAAGTAAGAGAATGAGACTTATTGTCAATTTGGTACCAAATACAGTCGCCACCGTAAAAAACAAAAATTCTTCAATTGTGATATTTTCTTAACATAAATTATTGTAATAGAGGATATCATAGCGTAAATATTATTTTAATATAAATAATGATGATAAAAGACGTTACAAAAGGTAATTACTTTTGTAGTGCGTCCATGTATCAGTCATGTAAGGTTTCCCCTGTTGACTGTGGCATTCGATGCCATAGGCCCTGTTTGATGATTAAAAATAATGTAAAAAATAGAGGGAGTGGCGAAATGGGAATAACGTTGGAACAATACCAAAATTGTTTCGCCAATTATATATAGCACTCAAGATTGTTTCCCCCTGGTGACAGGAAAAAATAAAAAAATAAAAAAATAAAAAATAAAAAGAAGTGATTTTAATATCAGTACTCATTCACTTACTTCTCCTGTTTCTTGGCCTTTTGTTCAAAATTCCAAAAGGAAAGAAAAAGGAGGAAATGCATCTTTTTCCCACTTACCGGTTACACTACCCTACAAGCATTAACCATATATATATATATTGAACAGAAGCATTAACAAATATATGGTTGGATGAATTTGCTTTTCAGTCATGTTATATCTGCTTTTCCCAAGAAACATGCATGTTTTAATAAATCTATGATATATATATTTATATAATCATGAACCACCATCACGGAAAAGGGAAATATTATTCTTGCATACCTCTTAGTGTAACTGTTTTGTGTGTTTCTTAATATTATTGCTTTAATTACCAAAAAAAGGAGTCATTACAATTTAGTGATGTTTAGCCTTTAATTAACTATATAGCTAGGGTGTGAAGTAGCCCGACCTCGTAAAGGATAAACAAATTGGCATTAGTATTGGAATTGAACTCAGATTGTAATCTTTGAGGCGTTTATTTTGAGAATAGAGCTTGTGAGAGTCTGAGAAGAGAGAAGAAGAACTGGAAATGCAACTCAATGCATGCATGGGATTATACAATTTATCATCTTCTAATCTTCCCACCTCGATCTCCATGTCTAATGCTTTTAAAACCCCAAAGCAGAGACATTATGGGAACTCTCTCCAACTTGTTTTTGTGTGTCTCTTTAGATTACATACTACTATACTATTAATTAAACAGCTTTTGAAGATGCATTATTTAAGATAGAATATGAATGATGCTCATGTTAATAATAATTAAGTTAAGAGTGTCATTACACGATTCATTAATCAACACTTAAGATTTACAATTATGTTATGAATGAACTCTTTATTATTGTGTCGTAAGTATTATTGTATCGTTCATATTAACGATTTATTGATTTTAATGAAAATCATTTAATTTCTCTTAAATAACATTTTAAATTTAAATTTTATAAATAAAAAATATAATTTAATTTTAAATTAATTAAAATTTAATCAAACTTTTAAATATTAAATATTTAATAAAAAGATTACTATCTCATTCATCGGTCAAACTTGAAATTTATAATTAGGTTATGAATGGGACTCTCCATCTTTTTAAAATAGTAGTGCCGTAACACTTTCATTAGTAGATTAGATGTAGATCCAAACAGGAAAGGAAGATATTTTGTTTGGGCATATCATATGGGGTGAAATAAATGAGGGTGTTGTCTAAGCATCCTCCACCAAAAGGAAAACGTCATTTTCCAGTGTATATCCATCCATCTTCAAATAATATGAAATAACAAGACAGAGGGTATTATTAATTATTGTACAGGCTTCTATAGAGAAGGAAGCAAATAAAAAAGCAAACAGGGAGGTAAAAATTTCTTCACTCTGGGGCGTGATAATTATGATTAAACAGATACAAGTTTGTCGTGTAGTGGAATTTGTTGGAAAGAATATGATCAAAACCGACATTTCAGTGAAGGGGATTTTATTACAACCCCCCCAAAAAAAAAAAAAGAAATCAAAATCAAAGAATAAAAAGAGGGGAAAGAAAATGAGCAAAGATAGACTTGTCTTGTAGAGGGTAGGGTAGGTATAGTAGAGACGACAGCTTTATGTAATTTGGCAAAGGAAAAAACACAACTTTCTTTTTCTCTCTCTCAACAACGCATATTCACAGTTACAGATGGGGGGAGAAGGTGAATCAATTATCAAATATCAATCGATTCGTGGCAATTAATAGTACAATTCTGCTTTTTGGTGGAGAGAACCAGATGCCCTTTTGATGTGCCTGTGGGTGGTGCTGTTTTTTCTCTCTCTCACTCTTCTTTCTCTTGTTTTTTCCTTCCCTTCTCTCTTTCTCTCAATCTCAACTCAACGGTGGTGAAAAGTAAACTCCTTCTGTCCTCTTAGTTGCTTTGATTTTATTTTCTCATCCAAAAAAATCGTCTTTATTCCCTTCAGCAATACAGCTTCAAAATCATAAGGTTTGTATGCTCTAATCTTCTCTTTTATCTGTACTTTCTTTGCTCTTGAGTTCTGTTTTTCCTTCCTTTTCAAAGATTGGATTTTTTTTTATAACGGGGAAACATGGGTTTGATTGATTTCTCTATCCCTAAGTTTCTGGGTTCATCTCAAGTCTTTCTGGATGTGCTGCGGTCACTGCTTCTTCACTCCAAAAACTCTGGATTCCATATAGCCCCTGTAATATTTCAACCACCCCATGAATTGGTTATTCCTCCACATTGGATCAAGAAGGGGATCAGATGGATCAAAAACTACCTGCAGCAACCAGGGGCTGTATGCATTATATGAATTCAGCAAAGGAAAGTGGAATCTGGTCATGGCTTCATCTTTTGATTTCATTCCTTCATGTCTGTTCCACTATTCAGATTTGAGATTCTTTGATAATCTCAACTATCCTTTGTTCCTTTTGCTCTATGTGCCTCTCACTTCTGTTTCTTGCTTGTCTTTGGAATTCCCTATTTTTGTAAACTCATCCTTCTAATCTGTATTATCTATCATATGATTTTTCTTTTTATGGATTAAATCATTGCTTAGACTTCTGGTAGTGGATGATGCATCCTCAAAGTCTCAATCTTGAGCATCCTTTCTGGGTTCGCCCACATAAAATAACGTTCCCACCATGAAGTTCAGACTCGACCAACATCTTTGCTTGTGGGTTTTGGTTTTTTGCTTATTTTGTGCTTTGCTTGATCAATCAAAACGTAGATGCTTTAATTTCTCTCATTCCCTTCACATAAAATAACGTTCTAGATCGTTCTGGAATCTCCTTGTTTGCTTCCTTCTTCTGGTTCTCTCTTCATAACGTTGATCTCATCCTCTTTCTGGTGTTTCTTGCAGGCTAATGGATGAAGATTCTAGTGGTTTCGCGTAATATCTGGTAATATTTTGCTTCTTGTGGCTGCTGTTCAGTGGTGGGGTTTTGTGGCTTTGCTGGAGAGATATAGAAGGTATAGTGTTATGCTGAATAAAAAGGGCAGTGGTGGAGATAGAAGAGGTGGAAGTGAGCTTGTGACTGTTGCAATAACAGCACAAGAAGAGAGAAGCTTTTCATCAGATGTTATCCATTGAAAACCCTCCACTAGATCCTCCGTTTCCCTGCCAGTTGAAAAGTGGTAGTGATGATATTGAGAAGGCTCCTCATAAGCTTCCTTTGCCTGAGGTAGATCTGCTGAAGCAGCCACCCCTTGATGAAAATCATCATACCCCACCTAAATTCTCCATAAGGTAATTTCTTTTTCTCTACCTAGCTTTCCTCTTCTGCTTCAGGAATAGTAACCGGCTGGATGGTTTTGTCATGGCCCTAATTGCTTCTCTTTGATCTTATCCTAGACATTTTTTTCTCTTGAGTCACGCTCAGATCCAGAATTACTTGTTGCTTGTGGCGCGGTTCAACATGGAGCCTAACGCATAACACACCCAAATCTTGTCCCTTTTTTTCCTGCTTTCGGGGCTTGCTCTTACAAACTTCTTCCAGAGTCTTCTTCCTTGATTATGTCTTCGTGATTTCATGTCCTTTCGTACATGGGATTTTATGGCAGGGCTACCTGGTGGAAAAACTCTTGCTCGTACTCTTACCGTCTTACCTGTTGGGTCCTGCTTGCCGCATCTTGCGCAGTTACCTAATTGCTTTTCATTTTAGGTTATCTTTGAATGTTGTGTTTTGAATTTCTTGGCTGTTCTTGCTATTGATGAGTTCCTCGCTTCTGGATTTTATGGTCCAAGTTCCCTCTCATCATGATCAGTTGACATACAATATAAGGATCTTTTAGATGTTCCTACTTTAATTTGGCTCCTCTAGAGTGTGTTATGGTGCCCTTTGAGCATATGAAATTTGTCATGAATTTGTTGGAGTCACTAACGACTACTTTTTCTACCGTAGGGATTATGTGTTCTCTGCTCGGAGCAAGGATATCAAGAAGAATTGGCCATTTTCGTTGAAAAATTTGCAACTTTGTTTGAAACATGGCGTGAAGGATCCTTTGCCACCATTCCAGCATCTTGACACCGTAAACCCATCTTTAATCAGATGTACGGATGAAACCACATTAGCTGAAGAGCATAACACCAGCAAGTTTGATGGAGAGCCATACGGGTCTAATCATCATGTGCTGCTGGAATCATACAATGATTCTCAATCAAGTCATCTAGCAGTCAATTACATAGAGAATAGCTCATGCAGATCTGGAGGAGAAAATGAAAATGACTTCCCATCTACTAATAGTGTTTCTCAATTTGAAATAGAATCTGTTCCCATTAACAATCCATCTAAATCACTACTAGAAACTGATACCTCTGTGGAAGCCTCAGCTGAGGTTCAAGCCATAATTCCTTTAAAGCCCCCGACGACTGAAAACACAATCCGGTCCTCTGGCAGTGGCAAGAAGTGCAGACTAATAGCGAAATTTGGTGCCAACTCTGATCATAGTTTGACAGAAGATATTGCCTCAAATTGTACTATTGTGTCTGAATCAATGGCTTCTAAGGTTTGCCCTGTTTGCAAAACCTTCTCGTCCTCTTCCAACACCACCTTGAATGCTCACATTGATCAGTGTCTTTCTGTGGAGTCAACACCCAAGTGGACAGCAGATTCTAAGATTACCAGGCATAGAATTAAACCAAGAAAGACAAGATTCATGGTAGATGTTTATGCCACTGCTAAACATTGTACATTGGAAGAGCTTGACAGAAGGAATGGTACCAACTGGGCCTTGGTTTCAAGTTTGCTTGTTCAGAATAGTGAGAAACTTGAAGCATCTAATGAAGGAAAGAAGCAAATTAGAATTTCCCCAGTTCATCCTGAAGATGATGCTGATGTTGGTTCTGTTTATATTGATGCCGATGGCACCAAAGTTCGGATTTTATCCAAGTTTAATGAGGCAACACCAATCTCAAAAGTTGGAGAGGATCTTGAACGAAAGAAATCTCTGAAAGGAGGTAAGGGAAGCAAATTCTTTTCAAGCAAAAAGAAAAGGCGCCATGCATTAAAACATCTCAGATATCTAAAACAACCTACTCAAAGCAGAAAAACGTTCTCTGGAAAGGCAAATGCTCTGAAGGTATGCCTCTTGTTATCTTTTATTAATGTTTTTGTTTACCAAATCTTTGCCCCATTTTTCTATTATCCTCTTAGCCAAACCTCCTTAAAAGATTAAATATTTTGGCATATGTTTCACCATCTGATTGAGCTTTATTGAATCTTGATATATGCCCAATGTCTTTGCAAAGCTTTAGTTTATTATACCCAACTGGGAAATAGCTTAAATTCTCACAGTTGTGGGATTCTGTACTCTTTCTTGCAGCTCGTAGTTGTTATGTTGATGATAATAAGTTCTTATCTGCTGGATTATAGTAGTCATAGAAGTAGATACTTACTTGACACAGTTAGTGGGATGCATCATTGGTTGTCATGGATTTTGCTCTCTGAAAGCAAAATTTTAAATTTCATGTTTGTTGCAATTTTTTTTATTCTTTTTAAATTCAAGATTTAGTGATATTCTATTATATTATGCTTATGCAGGTAGTTGGAGATCCAGAAGGATATTGTGCACTGGAAGGAAGTTTCAAAGATGAGGAATGTTGGATACATAATCAAATCAATTCTGGTGGTTCTGGAAACTTAGGGAAGCAAGTATGCTGTAAACGGACCAGTCTAGCAAGGAAGGCTAAATGCCAGGATATCCATCAACCTTTATTTTGTAAATGGCATGTTAGTCAGGACTTGCCTGCTCAGAGTGATATATCAGGTTTTGGTGATCATGTTGTGAAAAGGAATGGTGTTCATAAGTTCAAGAATTTGTCTGAGAATTTATTTTCTTCTCCTGATATCTGTGAGGGGACTGAGAAACCGTTATATGAATCCCGGGCTATTGACAGAGGAGAGCATTCTCCTGGTAGAAAGAGAGTGAGGAGTCCCTTGATTGGAGCTAAGAGTGCTATCAAAGTCAAGAGGTCTTCTCCAGCAGTGAAGCAAAATACAAACCAGATGAACAAAGATGGCCATTACACACATGAGGGTCCAGTGTTGAGACCTTCAAAATCTACTGCCAACCATGCATCTTCATTGAGCAACAAAGCAGTTGGCATTGATGCAACTAGTGATCCTGATTCCCACCTCTACTCTAGCCCAAGACCTGCTTTTAGTGCTTGTGGTTTTCCTTCCAAAGTCATTCGATTTCCTACATGGAAGAAAAATTCCTTGCCCATTAGCAGCAGGTCATTGGTGGTTGATTCTACTTCTAAAAAGAGTCAACTGCATTCCCTGGCAGAAAATGAAATGGATGAGGAGCCTGAAGCATGGGACTGTGAGGTGGAACAACGACAAAGAAAATCGGTGAGTGCCTACAGGAGGGATGAGACCATGGCTTTGAAGAGCTCAGAACCGGCATCTTGTTACAGTGATCATGATAGTGGGGACAATGCAGATTCTTCAGTTAGAACTGATGGTGATATCCTGGGCAAAGTTGATGGTTTGGAATCTGCTGAGGAGATGGTTACCAGTCCGAGCAAGTCCTCAGAAACCAAGTTCCACAAGCTAGGTGATCCTTCCAAGAGTAGGTCTAGTTGTCTGCAAACTCTTGAAGAATATAACAGGTCATTGAGTGGGGAGGAAGTACTTCCTGATACAATTGGTGCAAGTTTCATTGATGGGCAAGAGATATTTTCTGCTGATGAAGTTGGGCTTGACATGATTGAAAATGCAACAATGGCCATGGGGGCAGAATTAATGGATTCTGAAGCAGCACAAGGTGGCTCTTTTCCTGAGGTTGATCCAATACCCATTCCAGGACCACCGGGATCATTTCTACCAAGTCCCAGGGGTATAAGTTCAGATGACTTTCCAGGGAACTCATCATTGACAACGAGTCGAGTTCAATCTTCTCAAGATCATTTTGACTTGGTAGATGGGGATTCTTCAGACTCTCCCATATCTGCTGCATCAACCATCTCCAATCCCATGGCAGCTATATCTGATTTGAGGTATTCAGAATCATTAACATCCGTTGGGGCTCCTGCAGTAGAAGAAATGAATAAGACGGGCTTATCTGGTACTAACATGGAGCCTTCTATGGAAAATGCTGTTGTGGTTACGCAGACAAGCACAGTACCAGAAAGAAATTTTGATGGAGAGAAAAATAAAATCCATAGAATCTTTGTTGAAAAGAGACCTTTCATTTTTAAGAATGATGATCAGCCATGCTGTTGCCAGAGAAAAGAAAAATCTTCTCAGGGTGTTGCCCTAAATTACCATCAATCACCACCAATAAAGCGACGAGCAATGGCTTCATTGAAAATGCCTGCAACGGAGATGCCAATCGGTGTTGGCCCAAATAACAGACCTAATAATTTGGATCTGAGTCCAGAAGCATTTTCTCTGAGCAGCTCTACAAGCTCAGGACCTCAAAAGTTGGTTCTTCCAGCAAGTCCTACTGCTCGAAAGAGATGTATGGATGCTGGAGTGAAGTATTCAGGCCGAGCTAATTGTGATTCTGCTAGTCCATCTTCTAATCCTGTTCTTAGGCTGATGGGGAAGAACTTAATGGTGGTCAACAAGGAGGAGGATCCATCTGTGCCAGTTGGGCAGGCACAGCTATGTGGCCCAAGCAACTGTTTAATTTCCCAGTTTCCAACATCTGGAATCTGTCAAGGGATTATCTGCAATCAGGTTTGCCAATCCTTCCATCCTGTTCAGGATTCTTCAACTTTTGGTCAGCATCCACATAGTATGGTGGGGGCATCTAACAGCTATGGATATCATGCACCTGTTGGAACATCTCAAAAACCTCAAATTCCAGTGGCAATGTTCCAAGACCAGTGCGTGGAGCAGGGATTCACATCCTCCATGGAGCCTTATATGTTTAAAAGCAATTATAATTCTCCAACAAGGCAGAATAGACCTAAAGCCAAACTTGTTCTGCCATCCCCTTCTGCTGCAGATAAAGTTTCAACCCTTGACTGCCAACAAAGGTGTGCAGAATCTACTGCTTCTGTAAAAGAAATAATCGTCCTTGATGATGCCCAGGAAAGTGAAACCAGCATGACAGCTGATATTGCAAAACACTATGAAGGCTTGAGGGGAAGTCAGGTAATGTTACGTGGCATTTCAACTCCAATTGTGACTGGTTATGGCTTAAGGCATGCACATCCTTTCTCTTGTTATCGGTCAGAGGAGTATCCTTTCTTTGGCCAACCACAAGTGGGTCCAAATACCAACGTCCATTCAGTCCTTTCTGGGCAAGCCAATACAAGTCCAATTAGGTGGGGTTGCACTACTTCGGAAGGTTCTCGTGTGTTGCATGGGACTCCATTCGTGGCTCCGTTGTCCTCAGCAGGTCATCTTAGACGATCACTGTATTATTCCCCAAGTTTATCTTAGGATGGTCTGTGCATGTTGAGGTTTTGTATCAAATATGTACTGAATCTTGAGCTTTTCCTTGACAACTGACTGGCCAGACACCATCAAAAGAATGATGATCAATAGCAAAAATAATAGTTACAGGAAATGCAACTTCAGCAGCTGATAGATCTCAGATAGAGTTAGTATTTTCACCTTCTAAATTCCAATGTAATGAACATGAGTCAAGTTTGTGCAGGTTGGTTGGTTTATTTATATTTAATTTTTTTGAGGCTTCAGTTTAGGAGCAATGGCAGAGGCTAGATAATGTACGACCAATGGTTGGAATAAATTATACGTGTGCTCACAGGGAAGGTTCGTATTATGAAATATGTTCATATTTTCAGAAATGTTTTGTGCGGTTTGAACAAAGCAAAACTTGTTGGAAATTTCTACGTGAGTTGTAGTTAATTGTATTTGATTTTTAAAATTAATTGTATTTGATTTTTAAAATTGAATCAAATGATAAATTGGAAACACTTAATAAAGTGATGTGATCCAAGTGGGATTAAGTTTTATTTTAGTTTTATATAATGTGATATGAATATTTTTAGAAGTCTGGAAAGTAAAAGTGAATTACTTGATGAGATATTCAAAAGATTATTATAATAGGTTATGTCTTTTTCTTTTGTTTTTCTTTACCTCTATGAGCAGTGAAGTTAAAGAGTGATATAATTTATGGAGGTGCCCAAAATATTATCATAATGGATTAGGTTCCTTCTCCCAATTAGAAAACTCTATCTCTATAAATAGGAGAGTTTGAAAGACTTAAATTTCAATATTAATTATATTTGTTTTTGTAGGTTGTCATAAAATCTTTAATTATGATGATTCTTGAAATTTCTTAAAGATTCTTAAATAATATATTGAATATGAAAATTCAGGTATATAACCATATTTATTTTATTAAATCTTGGTATATTAAATTTTAAGTATGTTGATTTTTAAAATTTTAACATGTGATATTAGATAAGTCATACATAGACTTATAATCTATTTATTTTATAATAATTGGTTGCGCGGTTGGCGAATTAAAGAGCATGCGCTTTGATTTCATAATCTTGATGGTGTTTGATTAATAAATATAGCAGAATTCGGTGAATTATGAATAATAGGTTGAAATCACAATTTTTACCCATGAACATGATTGAAACTGTCATGCTATAAATTCATGTGTTTTCTATCTTAAAAAATGGTTGAAAATTCTATAAAATTTTTATTTATGATGTTTTTTATGAGATTAATCACTCATATGTTGTCTTTTAATTGTTTCCATATTGTATTAGTGCTTATTGGATTAACATCATAATTCAATTTTTAATATGGTGATTAGTCATGTTTAATTGGATTATATTTAAAATTGACATCTGTTTTGAAAGTTAAAACACTAGTTGTGTTGTCGAATATTATTATTATAAATTCATGGAGTTTGATTTAATTCTACTTAAAATTAGAAGAATTTCCTCTAATCCTAAAGTATTTTTTGAAAACAACTAGTTTATGATTATTGTTAAGAATTCTACCAATTTAGGTGACTATGGTTTTAAATATTCATGTAATTGAGAGCACTTGTTAAATCAATCTGTGTGAGTCAAAATTGATGTTTAAAGCCTTGGTTTGATTAATATGTAAAAGCTAAATAAATTTGCTTCAATTGGATTTTATTTAAGGTCAAACCTCAATTTTATTGAATCCATTGATTTTGGTTGTGACGATATATGTGGAGATCAATTGAAAAGATTTGTGTAAACTGAGGAATGGTTCATTGGTTTGGTGGTATAAACTGGGTAGTTGCCAATTCAATCAAAATCTAGTTTTATGCCGTGAAACATATCCAATGGATACTGGAGATGATTAATGGAAAACTATTATTTGATCCCTTAGTAATTCTGTTTAGTGCAAATTTATTTTTAGTGGTCTAATAAGGTTACACATTAATGTTTAGATATTAAATTTAAGTTTAATTAATATGTAATCTTTTTCTTTTTCTCATGTTTAAAATAATCTTCATAAATAATTATGAGATATGGTGGTGAATTTAGTTGAATCTTTTTAGATTTATGAGTTTATGTTATAATATTTTTTTTTGTTATTTAATATCTTATTTGAATTAACCAATTTTAAAAGGAGAAAAAAAAAATTGGTTTGGAATTTAGAATCTTGATGGGAAGTAAAGAAAAAGAGTTAATTAGGATTGGACATCTCAATCTATTAAGGAATTCAACTAACTTAAGAGAAAATGCAAATAGAAGTTGAGGGACCATTATTGTTATTTTATTATTCTTAAAAATTGCATAATGGTTCAAAAGTCCGACATGGACTTGTTTCTTCCATAATCGGTGAAGGTATTGACACATAACCAGTTATAAAGACCTAACACAATGTAACGGTGTCGACACTTAAGTAATTTACAATAATTGAGCATTGGGTGATTTTAAACCTTTTGATATTGTGTACTGCATTTTATACATGATGTATCAGATTTTATGTGAAGAAAAAATATTAATATAATCTTATTTTATGATTATATGTACATAAAGAATATTTATTATGTGGTTTGATTTTATAAACTAAAATAATTATTTACATAATAAATGTATATTAATTTATTCCATTTATATTAAAATACATATTAAGTGTAACACATAAAATATGTGTCAATATTTGGAGGTTAAAGATATATGGTTAGTAGCAAATAAATTATTGATGAGATATGTTTTTTATGTTTTTGGTTTAAAATAATTTTGTAAATAATATTATGCATATGATATATGCTATGAAACACATTTTGAAAATTAAATTTCATGATATTGTTAAAATATTTAACCACAATTGGAGGTACATGAGTCTCATATATATCTATTATTTATATATTGTAATATCTTTGGGTTACAGTTTTTCAAATTGATTGTACTATTTATTTGTAAAGTTTTAAGTTTGACTATTAATAAGGAAATTTATGATTATGGATATATAAGTAGGTAATTGTGAAATTTTAGTTCTCATGAAAGATTACTTATCTTTATATGTGGTTTAACATGTGGGTTTTTTAACACTGTGTTTTCTAATAAAGAAATAAAATGTTTATATTTGAATGTAAAGAACATATTTATAATTACCAATAAATTATCTATAAAAATTAATTATGCATTTGGATAAAGCATAATTGTTATTTTGTACTAATTCTATGGAAGTTAAATTTTTTTCTTAAAGAATATGTATCAAAGGTGCACCAAGAATTGTTGAGAATTACAATTTCAATTATTCGTTAAGTTGTATCAAGGTAAATTATAACGGTACAACCATACAAGATAATTGAGTATAATTTTACTTATATTGATATTTTATTTAAGATAAAGTTGTTTGTTTTCATATGTGGGTTCTAGTATATGAATTCTATAAAGAGGTTTTGTAAAATTAAAGTTTAGGTATAACTTATAACATATAATTTAAGGTTAAATCGTTGGTTATATAATAGATTTTGTTAGTAATTAATTTTGTTCAAGGAATAATTATATATGTTTATTATGCACATTGGTAATAGCCTAATTGTGGCAATGCATGAAGGTTTTTTTTTTTAAAAAAAAAATCTCAAAGAAAAGATATTTGATAAAGTTATAAAAATTTTAAAATTTGTGTATCTTGATTTATTTAAGATAATGATGGAATTTTATATAATTTTCTTTTAGTATTAAAGTAAAGGAGCCAATAAGCATTGAAAGTTTTCCCAAAAGTTTTAAAATTCTCTCAAATCATATATTAAAAAATTACCATTATTAAAAAATATAAAAGATATGGTTGAGAGAAATTATAGGACCATATATAGATATAGATGATAGTTCTAATAATGTGTTATGATTAAAATGAATATCAAGAGTTTGTTTGTTAAGACTAATGATTTTTGTCACTTAAGATTTTTTTAAGATATTAAGAAATTTTATTTCAATGAGAGATTAGTTAATCTTCCAATAAGAATTTTGAAATGTTACATTATTTATGAGTAATTGTTCCAATAAGAGCTTGTGAGTTGATGTGAATGGTACTTCTAAAGTAGATCATTTATTGAGATTCACATGTTTTCCAATAAAGATTCTGGGATGTTTTATTATTTATAGTCAAGTGTTCTAGTGAGAGTATGTGACTTAATGTGGGTGATACTTCAAAGTAGGTCATTTATTAAATTCCTATATTTCTCAATAAAAATTTTGGAATGTTTGCTTCTTGAAATTAGTGTGTATAATTACCTACTCAAAGGGAGTGTTATGCATATTGATTGAAAGAAGTGTGAGTGATTAGTAAGGGTTTTTTTATTTTGATTTTATAGAGAATTTTTTGCTCAAAGGAGATTGTTTTCAATGAGATCGTTTTTATTAATTCGCTTGTAATAAAACTTTTGAAGTTTAATAAAGTCTAATACCCATTGATTATATTAAATTACAATGTTATTAAAAGTAGTTGACCTATTGGTGGGGAAGATCAGACATGAATTATTAAAGTTAAGATATAAAATTGTTATTTTCACATTAGTGCATGCAATATTTTGCCCAAAGGTAATTATTGTATGTATTAACTTGAAGTAGTGAGAGCAATTAGTAAGGATAATAAGTTTGATTTATATTTACTGAAAATTAATTTTCTTACTAATTGACTTATTAAGGTTTAATTTTATAGATTTATTTAGTCAACATAAAGTGCAGATAAACTAAAGTATAGTTGTCTTGAACTCTTGTGAGACAGTGAATCATGCTATGGATTAAAGTATATTATAAGGCACTTTTATGGAAATAAATTTTTATTATTAAAATTATATTGCCAATGTGTAATTGGTGTTAATTTATATATCTCTTAAGTGATTCATATTTTGATTGCATAAGTTTTAATTAAATTTGGAGATACATGTTTCTTAGCATCATAGATTTGAATTGTACAATATTACTATTGTGTTGTTGTTCAACTAGAAAAATGGTAAAAGGAAGGCATTAGTAATTATGATAAAAGTAATGCAAAATTTAAGATCTTCTGAAATGCCTATTATTATTTTAAAAAAATAATTTTCCTTGATTAGAAGAGATTTAAAGGTTATGATAAAATAATGTATCTAGATAATTAGTGAGAGTTAAACAGTTTATTACTCTTAATCATTCAATGTATAATAATAAGATTATGGATATGAGAAAGTTGATTATTTGCAATGGAGAAACCTTTAGACACGTGTTATGAATTATATGGAAATAATTTTTGTAAAAGATGCAATTATCTTTATTAAAGTTGATAAAATCTTGTTACTCTTGTATTTTTGTGTTTTATTAAAGTTTAAAGATCATGTTATATTTTGAGTAATGGATAATGAAGGATTGTTTTTATTAGAATATTTTATATTTTATGGTGTTAGTTATCTATATAAATAACTTATTGGTAGAACTTGGTAGAAAAGATACATCCAAGGTAATTGTTGATCTAAAGTAAGAGTGACATAAATGTGAAATTATGAATAATGATTATAGTTACGCATTATTGTGATTATGTTAACTAATTTACTGATTAAGAGATTATAATTTTGTTAGTTATTTATGAGAATTATTTTCGATATTCTTAATCAGTGGAGAAGTTGATTTTTCTATTAGTAATAAGTTTTATTTTACTTATTGTATCACTTATTGTTTTATAATGATGCATGTGCATTATATTGATAATTTTATGAGCTCATATAGATATTGATTTTGAGATGTTAATATAGACCTTGGTTCAGAGACATGTTCTGAACTGTCGGGACAAGTTGTAGGTAAGAAATAGGGCGACTTATATATATATATATATAAATATTTGCAAATTGACTTTGGCTTTTATCTTATTTCTTTTTTCACTAGGTTTTGTTACGTGACTATTTAACCCATGTAAGGCCTACTGCCAGGATCATTATTCAATGTTTTATTATTAAATTACTAAAGGAATTTTCCTATTTGCTCAGTTTGGATTCATTCTTGAGTCTATCGTGATTTAGATAGACCTACCACTATTACACGCTATGTCAGTTGATATTAGAGCAGAAACGCATAATCCTGGTATCATGGCCGACGAGTTTGAAGGAAATAATCGTGATATCACCGGAGAAGGGATGAAGATGATTACAGATCTAGGGCATAGATTTGAAGGGTGACTCATAGAGATAGAAAGGAGTCTCGACAAGATTCGTGCAAGTTTATGCCCTTTTACAGTGGATCCCAATAGGAGGCCGGAGGTAGCAAGAGATGACGATCAAGATGTTTCTTGAAAGTGTCGTGTTGATCAACACCATCCTATTAATTGGAGATTACATGCTTATGACGATTTTGAGTGATGATGATTTTGATGTAGCCTAACAAGTGGTGAATCGTGGGAACCCAAGGAATGCCAAGGGACGTGGACATGACATTGTTGGAGGGTTCAGAGGTGGCTATGGAGGAGGTTATCGAGAGAATCACTATGAACCAAAAGACTTCCGTCTAAAGGTAGACCTTCCTACTTTTGATGATTCTCTTGATATTGAGGGATTTTTAGATTGGTTGTCAGAGGTAGACTAATTCTTTAATTACATGGACGCCTCAGAAGAAAAGAAAGTGAAGTTGGTAGCTTATCAATTAAAAGGAGGTGCTGCCCTATGATGGGATAAAGTGCAAGATAGTTGCCAAAGAGAAGGGAGGGATCTTGTTCGAAATTGGTATCATATGAGGCAAAAGCTTCAAGCATGATTTCTACCCCCTGACTACAAATAGTATCTTTTTTCTCAATACCAAAGGTGTGTTCAAGGCCAAAGGTCAATCTATGAGTATACCAATGAGTTTATGAGGTTGGCAGCTTGTAACGATCTTAGTGAGACCGAGAGTCAACAGGTGGCAAGGTACGTTGATGGATTAAGGCCAACATTACCAAAAAAAATTAGGGTCTAAATGATTCATGATGTTTTGGAGGCTAGGAACTTAGCTCTCAAGGCTGAGAGGCTAGAGTAAGAAAAAAAAAGAAAAGAAAGTAAAAGCTGGTGATACATATCGTCGGATTTATGATGGGGCTAGCTCAGGGGTTAAGAAGGCTCAAGTTAGCTTGGACCAAAACAAGGTAGCAATTGAACGACCAACATGGAAGGGTATAGGGAAAAAGGCAATAGTTGAAACAATGGCACCTAAGGCACAAAACACAAATCCATATGCTAGGCCAATCCTAGGAAACTGTTACAAGTGAAATCAAGTAGGACATTGATCAAGTGATTGTCCACTATGTAAGAATGTGGCCTTGGTTGAGCAAGAAGATGAGGTAGATGACATGCTTTATAACCCAAATTGTGAGGAAGACTGTGAAGAAGATGATTTTGGACAGACCCACGTTGTTAGAAAGATGATGTTGACCCTAAAACAAGATGGATTAAATTAGCGAAATAAGTTGTTTAGAACAAAGTGTGAGATCTAGTAAAAAATTGTTGACAACGGCAGTCAGGAAAACATCATTGGCAAAGAGGTTGTTCAAAAACTACAATTAGAGGTGGAGAAACATCCAAATCCTTACACTATTGGGCGGATTAAATCTAGAGGAGATATTCAAGTAACGGAGAGATGTTGAATTCCATTGTCTATAGGTCAGTATCATAACGAAGTTTATTGTGATGTAGTTGATATGAATGCCTATCATGCACTGTCTGGTAGGCCTTGAAAATTTGATATAGATGCCCAACACCAAGGCAGAGACAATGTGTACCAAGTAGTAAAGGAAGGTGTTCATTACACCTTCTTGCCATTGTCAAAAAAATTAAAGCTTAAAATTGCTCTAATGGAAGAAGGGAAGACCTTCACAGTAACTTATTCAAGAAAGAGGTTCCTAGAAGAATGTAAAGAGACTAAGGAAATTCATATGCTATTAGTGATGAAGTTGCCGAGTGACGAAAAGCAAGACGAGGTACCTGATAAAGTAAGACCATTACTTGTAGAATATCAAGACATAATTCCTAAGGGATTACCACATGGATTGCCCTCCATGAGGGATATTTAACATCACATTGACTTAATTTTCAGAGCAAGTTTACCAAATTTGCTTCATTATCGGATGAGTCCAAAAGAGAATGAGATTTTAAGGGAAAAGCTGGAGGAATTGCGTGACAAGGGACTGATTCGAGAAAGTATGAGTTTATGTGCTATTCCAACCTTGCTTACGCCAAAGAAGGATGGGAGTTGGCGAATGTGTGTGGATAGTAGGGCAATCAACAAGATTACAGTTGGATGCAAATTCCTTATTTCAAGGTTAGATGACATGTTGGATCAATTACATGGAGCTACTGTGTTCTCCAAACTTGACCTTCGGAGTGGCCACCACCAAATTCGGATTAGACCAAGGAACGAATGGAAAACTGCATGTAAGACATGAGATGGCTTGTATGACTGGTTGGTGATGCCATTTGGTTTAAGCAATGCCCCCAACGCTTTCATGAGGCTTACGAACCAGGTACTTAAGCCTTTTATTAACCGATTTGCTGTTGTTTACTTTGATCATATTTTGATTTACAATGAATCGAAAGAGGAGTACCTAAACCATTTGTATCATTGTATCAGATTCTTATAGTTCTGTAGAAAAATAAGCTCTTCTTGAACCTAAAAAATATACCTTCATGACGAAGAAGCTCCTTTTCTTGGGATATGTGGTCAGTTCGAAAGGGATCCATGTCGATGATGAGAAAATTCGAGCAATTCAAAATTGGTTTGCACCAAAAACAGTGGGATAGGTATGAAGCTTTCATGGTCTTGCTACTTTCTACAAAAGATTCATTCGAAACTTTAGCACCATTGTAGCCCTTATCACTAAATGTTTAAAGAAAGGGAAATTTCATTTAGGAAAAGAGGAAGAAGCAAGTTTTGCTTTGGTTAAAGAAAAGTTATGTACTGCACCTATTTTAGCTTTGCCTAGCTTTGACAAATTATTTGAGGTGGAGTGTGACACATGTGGGGTAGGAATTGGAGCTGTACTTTCTCATGAAAGGAAACTTGTTGTTTACTTTAGTGAGAAGCTTAGCGATGCTCGGAAGAAGTGGATGACTTATGATCAGGAGTTCTATGTGGTAGTGAGGGTTTTGAAGACTTGGGAACACTACCTTATTGGTAAGGAATTTGTTTTTTATCCTGACCATCAAGCATTAAAGTATTTGAGTAGTCACAAGAAAATTACTAGTGATTTGCATGCTCAATGATTTGCATTTTTATAGAAGTTTCCGTGTAAATTGGTGCAAAAATCTGGGTCACAAAACAAAGTTACTGATGCTTTGAGTAGGCGTGCAGCTTTGCTTACCCTCTTGAAGGGAGAAATTGTGGGATTTGAAGAGTTGAAAGATTTGTATATTGAGGATCTAAATTTTCATGAAGTGTGGATGAAATTGTAAAAGCATGGTACAACAGAAAATTACCACATATTTGAAGGCTATTTGATGAGAGATAATAAATTATGCATTCCGCAATCTTCATTAAGGGAGAAGCTGATTTGTGACTGGCATGGAGGGGTACTAGCTGCTCATCTAGGTAGAGACAAGACCTTAGAAGCTGTCAAAGAGCGCTACCTTTGGCCTAAATTACAAAGGGATGTTGATCACTTTATGAAGAGATGTTATGTGTGTCAAACCTCCAAAGGGCACTTGCAAAACACTAGGTAATATATGCCTTCACCAATTTCGGACAATGCTTGGGAGGACTTATCTATGGACTTTATTCTTGAGCTTCCTCACACACAATGAGGTATGGATTCTTGTTTTGTTGTTGTTGACAGGTTTTCAAAAATGGCTCATTTCATCCCATGTCGAAAAATTGCTGATGCTAGCAACATGGCCAAGTTATTCTTTCAAGAGGTGGTACGCCTCCATGGAGTGCCCAAGTCAATTGTATCAGATCGCGACACTCGGTTTCTTAGCCATTTTTGGACAACCTTATGGAGGATGTGCGACGCTTCTTTAAAGTTTAGTAGTACTGCACATCCTAAGACAGATGGGCAAATAGAGTCACTAATCCATACCCTTGGTAACATGATTAGAAGTATTTGTGGGGATAGACCCAAACAATGGGATTTTGCTTTAGCTCAAGCGGAGTTTGCCTATAACAGTGCAATACATAGTGCCACTGGTAAGTCCCCATTTTTTGTTGTTTACCAAAAGGTACCCAACAATGCTGTGGATTTGCTTAAGTTGCCTAGAACATGTGGAATCAGTGCAACAGCTAAGAACTTAGTAGAGAAAATTCATGGGGTCTATGAAGAAGTAAGGCAAAAGCTTGTAGCAACCGACGTGAAATATAAGAAAGCAGTGGACAAGCACAGGGAAGAAAGTTTCTTTGAAGAAGGTGACTTGGTGATGGTATTTCTTTGCAAAGAAAGGTTTCCAATGGGGACTTATAACAAATTGAAACCCAAGAAGTTTGGCCCATACAAAATCCTTAAGAAGATCAACAACAACATTTATGTGGTTGACCTTCCAACGTCCATGGGTATTTCCCACACTTTCAATGTGGCTAACATCTTTCCATATGTTGGTTCAATAGAAAAGATTTACCTAGAGCTCATATGGATAACTCAAGGTGGAGTTTTTCACAAGTTGGGGAAACTAATATAGACCTTGGTTTAGAGACATGTCCTGTACAGTTGGGACAAGTTGTAGGCAAGCAAGGGCGGAGCCAAGAATTTAGTTAAGGGGGCCGGCTTTTCAAGTCTTAAAATAATGTATTGTAATTTTGGAAACTTACTTTTATATCATATATTAAAATAATACTTGACGAGTCTTTATGTCATAAAATCTGTTTACAATATTGTCTGCACTAAATAACTGAACTATTTTCTTTTCAATATAAACAATCAAAGAGTTTGAAAGAAATTTATCCTCCATTTTGCTACAAAATCTAGTTTTCATAATTTTTATGGTAGAAAATACTTTTTATGTTATTGCTGTAGAAAATGAAAGATTAAGCATCAAAGTAATTAACTTGTAAATGAGACTATAAATCTCTAATTTTCTTGTCTCCACAAGCCGTGGACATAGTTCAAAAATATGGCAACATCCTATCTCTCCACCCTACCACTTTCTACAAGCAAACAACTTTTCTTTCTCTTTTTACAAGCTAATTATACTTTATACGAGTGTATCTTCCTTTTATACTAATTTATGTTTCTATGGCCTTTTTCTACATGACTATATCCAAGGTTTTTCCTTTTATTGGATTCATATATGTTCCCTTTATGGATTTGTACTTTCTTTCTTCCTTTTTTTTCTCAATTTTTTTACTCCAATCTAATTCTATTATATATAACTTCAATATAACTTCAATATTACTATAATATTCAATTTTATTTGTAATCTCAACAGCTCTAAATCCTAAAAAAAAAATAATCAAATTTTTTTTGATAATAAAAAATCAATAAGTTTTATTACTTAAATATTATTCCCTCCATCCTAGAATAATAGATTTTTTTGTTTTATCTTCAAATGAAATATTTGAAAACAATTTTTATTTTTACCTATTTTATACTTAAAAATAACAAAGAATAAATATCTACTTCTATTAGAAAATAAGTAATTAAAGTTAAGAGATAATTATAGGATTAAAGTAGAAAAACTATTTATCATCCTCAAAATAAAAAAAAAAAAAAAGACTTTTATTTTGGGATAAATTCTAAATAAAAAATATCAATTATTCTTGGATAGAGAGAGTATACTAATTTTTTTGTTAGAACATATCTACTAATAAATATAAAAAAAAATTTTAAAATAAAATAATAAAAAAAAAACTCACAAAACTCAAAAGTTGAAACCTAATATGACAATATATGATTTATATAAAAATAGATAGTATGTTTTTTAGTCTTTACCAATAAGTTAGTGGTTCCTTTGGTGGTCCCTTAATTTGTCTTTAAGTTTTTAATGAGGAAAGCAGTGTTGCAGTGGCTTGCATCAAGCTGTCGGCGGAGTCTCTTTTTTTTTTTTTTTTTTTGAAGTTGTTGGGTTAAAGTTGATTAGTGGAAAGAGATTGACACTGGAACAGTAAGGTTGGATATTAGAGAAATGGTATAGAAGACACAAGAATTAGTTTTTTTTTTCTTTTTTCATTTTTTTTCTACAAAATTCAATTGTGGGCCTTGAGATAGATGAATTTTAAATAATAATAAATAGTTAAATTGTTAAAATGAATAATGGATTACATAGATTAGATTTGGGCTCTTAAAACAACCCATTATTATTGGATCTTTTTTTATTTTATGTATTTTAATAATTAAAAATATAATATTTAAAATTTTAATAATAATAATTAATTAATTAATTATATATATTTTTTCAAATCCCGGGAGGGGCCACCGCCCCTGGGTCTCCATGTGGCTCTGCCACTATAGGCAAGAAATAGGGTGGCTTGTTTTTCTATAGTTTCCAAATTAACTTTGGCTTTTATCTTATTTCCTTTTTCACTAGGTTTTGTTACATGACTATTTAACTCATGTGACTATTTAACTCATATAAGGCCCACTGCCAAGATCATTATTCAACATTTTACTATCAAATTACTAAAGGAATTTTCTTGTTTGCTCAGTTTGGATTCATTCTTGAGTCTAACATGATTTAGATGGACTTACCTCTATTACACACTGTGTCAGATCTCGAGGTATAAAGTATAACGGCTTCTTTGGAAGTGTACAGACTTTTTTTGAAGTATAAAAACTTTTATAGAAAAGTGGGGGAGATTATCTCCTAAATTTTTATGAAACCATAATAAAATTTAAAGGCATTTCTACGTAAGTGTAAAAGAGATTATATCATCATAAAAGGGTTTCTTTGAAACCATAAAGAGGACCGTTGTGGTTTTAACATGTTATATGTTGTATGGATCACGTTGTGTCAAACTACACTACACTTTATCACACCTATTGGAATTAATGTTGGTAGAAATATTTGATAATTGCAATTGTGACGAGTCTTGTGTTATTATTGACATAATGACCGCACAGTTCAGTATTGGTATTTTCATTGAACAAAATTCTATACTAAGATTTTGATTTATATTTGTGGCCATTAAAGTTGTGTTTGATCTAAAAGTCATTTTTTTAAAAATATGTTTTAAAATTTAAAATCAAATAGCAATGCCCAAGTGGGAGAATGTTAGAAATTTTTATGTGGACTGCTGTTAATTGTATTTGGTTTTCAAAATTGGGTCAAATGGAAAACCAATAAAGTCTAATAAAATAATGTGATCCAAGTGGACTTAGGTTTTATCTCAGTTTTATATGGTATAATATGAATATGTGTAAAGGTCTGGAAGTAGAGGTGGGCTACTTCATGGAGGTGTCCAAAAGATTATCATAATGGATTAAATCCCTCTCCCATTCAAAAAACCCTACCTTTATAAATAAGAGAGTTAAAGAGTGACATTATCCATCGATTGTTATTATACAGAAGTTGATTAAGGAAAGGAAGACCTAAGTCTCAATACTAACTATATTTATTTTTGGAGGTTTTGTTATGAGATCTCTAATTATGATAATTCTTGAAAATCCTTAAGATTCTTAGGTAATATATTAATTATGGAGATTTAGGTACACAATATATTTATTTTGTTAGATTTTGATATTCTAAATTCTTTGTATATCGATTCTTAAAATTCTAACAAAAACTAATTTTTAATGAGTAAAGTGCATGAATAGGGGGCTGTTACCGGACTGTAAAAAAGTGCTCAGATATATTTTAATGCAATAACTAGTGTGCGACAAATTTCTCACTTCTGTGGTCCAACCAGAATATAAACGGTTATTATTTAAAAAAAAAAAAAAGAATATAAACGGTAATTAGGTTGTACATTCTTCCATGAGTTAGATCAACTTGCACATTTTTCCTCAAATGGTTTGACTTGTATTTTTTTTTAAATGGATGATTTTGTGGATTTCACAAAGGATCAACTTGTTTTGGCCCAAAAAAAAAACCGAAGGATTGACTTGGGGTTTATTTAAGGATGCTTCGGTGTGTGCTGCTGAAATTCCAGCTATGTTGTTGAGATTGGTACTTGTAGAGTGAAAGGTGTTGGCAGAATTGTACTAGTTTTGAAAGGCTGGATGGAGCTTTTTATTACTGAAGACTTTTAGTGCTGTGTTTCCATTACAATTGACAAGCTCTAATTTGTCTGGTTTCTGGATTTGACTTTGAACCTTGAAATGCCTCCCCCTTGTTGTATCTTTGATGTATTCATGAAATGAGAAGATTTATGCTACAATTTATACGTAGTTGTTGGTTAGATGCATGAAACACCAATTTAAACAAAAAACTAACACTCTCCGTAGTTATGTTACATTTCTAAAGCTAACATGCTTACATATTTATCTGAACAAAACTGACAGCATCCAAGCATCTCACTAATCTCAGATCTTACTCCTCATCCTCACTAACTTTGCCAGTGTTTCTTGTGCAGCAAGGGTATGCGCATGGTTGTGCCCCAACATCACTGTCCGGATACTAATACAAGTCCTGCACAGCTCTTCACCGCTATCAAAATGCCCACCTCTCAGCAACAGCTTTGCTCTCGTCTCCAGCAGGGTAGCCTTCAAAAGTGTCACATCCTGCCATACGTATTCATCCACCCTTTGGCTGCCCTGGACCCTCTTCTTCCAACAGAGTGATCCCTGGCACCAGTCTTGTATCTGGGACACAAATGACTTCTCCACTTCCTCAAGAACGTTTGTGCACACTTTTAGAAGCTCCAATGCAGAGTTGCACCTTGAGAAGCTTGTGAATGCCTTCATAGCTAATGGGAGGGCTGTCTTCCTAATATATAAAACCATGTCTATTGCTTTTAGCTGGACTATGGGAGGCTCTGACTTGAATCCAAATACAAGAAATGCAGATGCCCACAGATGATCTGAGTTTACCAAAGGATTACCCATTTTCCTTATGCCTTGAACTGTTGATTTGGCAGCTGAGACGCATTCTTTCCTCTTTGCAAATATTTGACTAATTGGGTGGAATTGAATCCAACACCCGGGCTGTCTGCTAGCTTTTCTGGCTAATCCAAACTTTACCAGGAGGAGAGCGCAATCTTCCTCGCCTTGAGGGGTTAGGCCACATCCTCCACAACAACCAAAGGCAAGAGTCAAGCATTTAGTCCACCTTTCCAATCTGTTCTCAGCAGCAGGCATACATTTTGCTGCGGTAGCCAGCAAATTGACGGGAATAGGTGCTGGGGCAAACCAAGCACCCACAAGAAGCATTCTCGATGCAAGAATGTTTCTTCTCCCATTAATTTGCTGTAAGACAACAAAGCAAAAGGAGAGTACTTTCATCAGGAAAGGATTGTTTTTGCAGTATTGTTCGTTGCTGATGCTCAAGTATGGTGAAGGAGAGCTGTCTTCAAGTGAGACCTGGTTCACAGCTTGAAAGAGTGCAGATGGAGAAATGGCAAGTTCGGAAAGCAGTGACCCCACAAGACACAGACCAAAACTCAATCTTGCCAATTTCTCATCGAATTTTCTCAAGTAGTCCAACTCCTCAGCTGGATATTCTTTTTTCCTTCTTCCTCTCAGTAAAATCATTGCATCAGAAAATGGCAATGGAGGAAGGTGCATTGTGTCAAAATTCATTACCTTTGATAGCCTGGTGGTGATAATCACATGGGAGCCTCCAGTGTTCCTAGGAATCAAGTCATGTAGATCTTTTCCTTCCCACCATTCTCTTTCTGTCTCAAGGTTATCAATAATCAAAAGGTAAGGCATGTCCCTAAACAGCTCTTTCTTGACTCTCTTGAATGCTTCAAATTCTTGCTCTTCAAAGCTTCGAATCCGTCCTCTTTCCTTCTCCTCATCAGCACTAACATCAAGCCCCAAGTTGAGTGAAAGATTCAAAATGTTTTGCCGAAAGTATGGAGCCTCTCCCCCAGCCCACAAAACCATCTTATATCTCTGAGCATACCTGTAGGCAAATTCAAGAGCTAGCTCTGTCTTTCCAATGCCAGGAAGCCCATTTATGCAAATCACACTAGTGCCGCCTCCTAAGCTCCTATAATTCCCACTCTTTGATTTCTTACACTTGGACCTCTTCAATGAATTCCTTCCCACCCACGACTCCAGACTATTAGGCTCAAGCTTACTCTTCCCCAACTCCAAATTAATAAATCTCCCTCCTCTTGTAGAAATGGTATCACTTTCTTCATCCGCAAGTCCTTCAGACTGACCGCTTGCTTCCCCTTTAATGGATATGGAGTGATCCTGCTCAAGACTATCGCCACCACATCCAAAAAAGGCAGTCTCAATCTCAGCAATCTCCTTGTCCCTTCCCACAAAAAACCTGCTCCTAGGGAAAGGCAGCTCCTCAAATACTTCACTAACATCTTTCTGAGCCAGAGGTTGAGGCTGAGGCTTAGCCACACTACTCTTACGCCCAAGCTTTGCGCGTAAAACCCCTGCAGCTTTAGCCACACAGCTTTTCCAATTACCGTCATTGGCTTCCAGCTTCAATTCATTGCACTTGATCAATGCATCAATCGCCTCTCTGCGTTCCTTATCAATTGAATTGCAGTTGATCTCAGCAGGCCCTATGTCAAAGAAGAGAGGAATCAGGTTTTTCTTTTGAGCAAAGAATCTCATCTCCTCCAGGCTGAGATGGTTGGAAAAGCTAGAATTAGTGACGACGACAACCCCATATGTGACTGAGCAGATAACTCTGTCGGCAATCTCGTGGCTCTGACTATCCGAGTACTTGGCTCTATCTGCAATAAAGCAAGCAATCCCCTGAAGCTCCAGCTCCGATTTAAGCCACTTGCAGAAGCGAACCAAGTTGGGATTTTGACCATGGAAGCCGACAAAAACATCACAGCTCCTGAGTTTGGCATTGGAAGCGGGAGAAACAGGAGTTTTGGCAAAGGAAATCCGAGGCACTGGAAATGAGAAAGAGATGCGTGGAGCAGCAGCAGCAGCATCTGAGACTGGAACACAAGTTACAAACTTGAACTTAGGATCCGCAGCAGGGTCATCAGAGAATTCATATTGGTCAGACGGGGGAGTGTATGAACTGCTGGGAATGTCGTCTGACTGGGAACCTCTTCTGTATGAAACCGAAAGCGGAGGTGACGATCGAAGAGTGAGCGACGGAGTTGGGGCTTCTTGGGGTTCAGGGGTGGTGGCTCTTGGCGAAATGTAAGGTGACTGCAAAGCGGAAACAAATGCTGAGGATGGTGGGGACACAAGAGAGGGAGAGTTGTATGGAGATGGAGAATGAGACTGCAAATCTTTTCCGCTTGAGGTCTTGATGGTGAGAGATAGTGACCCGTCTTCAGCGCCGCTAGCCATGGATCCGAGTAAAAACTGAAAGGTACAATGCTCTCCTCTACTACTCTAGTGGATGGATCATATTGCTACTTTCCATTTCCATGGATAAATTTTGCAGTGACAGATATAATTGAGTGAATGAGTGAGGGAGTGGGTCTGAGAGGAGAGGCAGCAATGGACAGAATTTGAATGCAACAGTGAAACAGGGGGAAGGGAAATCTGCATGTGATTTATCTCAGCTCATTGTGGGGCTATCTGGCATCTGCAGTCAGAGCTCCACCTGTTTTCTTCTGCCATTTGAGACAATAGATTTGACCAGAGAGTATGAGTATTATTAGCATATATTAAAAAAAAAAAAAAAAACCACCG